GTCTTTGTATCCCCATGGCAAAGTTCATGACTTGGCACATATGAGGCAATCAGAGCTTAGTGAAAGTTTATTGAACTGGACATCATGTATAGAGTTTAAGGCACCTGCTGGATCATCTATGAAAGCAAGGCATTATTATGATGTGTCTTCACATGTTCTTCTGATGGTAAGAAATAGACACCTAATTTAAACAAATTCAATGAGGGTTTATTATAGGAATGTAATGAGGCCACTCTGGGGACCTGCTTCCTGTTTCTTAAGCTTTTCTTTCTTATGACCCAGCTGCTTTATTTCTCATTGTCTCTGACTCTCTCAGTAGGTCTGATCCTCATAGATGTGGTAGACTGAAACTTCCAAGCTCCCAATTTTCCCTCTTCTTTTCCTTCTCTGCATTCCTTGTGTCCTAATTCCATTACTAATTGCTTGTTCCCCAATATTTCTGAGATGTAAAAAAGTTAGAAATTGAATTCCCAGCTTTACACACTGATGCTTGATCCTGGTTTAATCATCTGTTAGCTATGGGGCAGAGAGGAAGGCAGGGTGATAAGATCCTTCACCATAGCTGATGGCTGTGGATAAGCAAGACATTGTGGTGGGTTCTAATGGAGGTCTGCAGGAGGGTGGAGATAAAAGACAAACATGCACCTGACCTGCATTCCAGGAGCTTACCATTCAGTCACACACCATGGACAATGCTAAACATGAAAAGGACACTAAACAGCGCAACCATAGAGCTAGCTAAATGGTCCAACAGGAACATGCTGCTCAAACTACACTGTATCCAAAAGGAAGGTCATGAGTTCAGTTCCCTGGTTAACCTTTAAATGCTGGTCATCCATGTTCCTGCCTACCTGTGAAGGCTAGAGAAGGGGAGAGAAATTGCAGCATGGGATCCCATTGAGGAGCTAGTCACTAGTCTCTCTCTCTCTCTTTCTCTCTCTCTCTACACGCAAACACACACACACACACACACACATGGTTGTGTGTGCACATGCATCTATATACATACATATATAGACACACACAAACATATATGTATTAATTATATATATAAAATGAAATAAATAAAAAGTGCAACCAAGGCTCAGCCATGATTTTGCTAAAACACTTCTTCATAGGCTGGATCCACATAGGAGGCCAAGATTAAATCCTTAGTCCAATCTAAAGGCCAGCACAGTGGCTCTCCTATAACCCCAGCCACAGGGGAAACTGAGGCAGAAGAATCACAAGCTTGGGGCTGGAAACACAGTGAGATCTTGTATTGAAAAATAAATAAATAAATAAATAAATAAATAAAAAATAAATAAATAAAAGGCAACTGCTATTAGAGTCCTACGGTGGGAGAGAGTCTGTTGCAGTTCATGTCACTAATTCATGGATGCAGGTGGTGGGGAGATCTCTTAGTTCTGCCACAGTGCAACAGTGTCCACTTAGAAGAAAAAGAGTCACAGGGATATTGCCTAGAAAACTAGCCCTAATTTACAATTCTTTCAGCCTTCCTGAGACTGAAGGCAAATTAATTTCTCTAATTTGGCAAATGAATAAGAAGAGAATCTTGTATATCATGTGATAAGATTTGAAAAAAAATTCCGTGAACAGTTTTGTGTTAATAGTATGAACTTTGTTTAAATGAGAGAGGGCATATATGTGCATGTGAGAGTGAGAGTGAGAAAAATACCTTCCACAAGGTCTTATCATATGGTGATCCTCTTTCAACAGCCCTCTGGCTCCTCAGGATCCTGGATACCAGTGTACACCAGGCATGTTTTCAAGCTTACCCAAGAATAGGAGTCCAGGGTCAGTCACATGACTTCCAGTCTTACAGGGCACTTGTGTCTCCACTATGCCATAGTGGCTGGGCCAACAGTGTGAACTTGTAAATATTTGCCCTTAATTTTAACACATTACTAAATACCAATGACCATCTCATTGGTAATTCCATCATTTAATCAGCTGAGAAGTTGATTTATGCATGAAAACTCAAGCTAAGAAGTCATTAGATTTAGTTTTTACCCTATAATCTCATTCAGAAATAAATCAGTTATTAGGTCAGAAATGCCTAACAAGCTATTGTAACTCTCTTGGTCCAGGTGGCTATTTAATCAGATTAATAAAAATCAGGCAATTCAGTCTGTGTCAATAGGAGGGCATTGTTCAAATGACCCATCTAAAAATTCAGAAGAGGCTAACAAATAACCTACTTTGAATTAAATAAATCACTGAGGAGTATGTCCCTGGCAGATATAAAAGTTATTAGATGCATAAAGATGCAGGAAGCTACCTGGTGTGAAGGTTACTGGATTTACCCAAACCTTAAATTCTGGATCAGTGTTCATACTGGAGCCTGATTGGCCCAACTGCAGCTGAAAATAATTTTCCTAAGGCAACATTCCATCTCTCCTGCCAATTGAAATTCTTAGCTCCTCTAGAGGAGCAAAAAAAATCTCAACAAAATATAAACTTGACCTCATTTCACACCTAAACATATCATTCTGATTGTTTCACTAGATTGGGTGAGCACATTTGCTTTTGTTTACTGCAGTTATAAACCTGAAACTGTCTTCTACCTAGCCTATATTCTCAGGTCACTAAATCTAGAAAGAAAATGTGAAAAAGTTCAATACCAAAATGATTCTGTCATAAAGAAATCAACACTGGGTGTTCAGTCAAGTATTTCGTATTCACTGACCATCTTAATGACCACGTCCCCTGGTAAACTTCAATTTACCTTAGCTCTTAAGAAATACCAACAAAAGAAACAAAAAAGCAGGTGATCTGCGCATTCCAAGTCTATAAGTAAATATGATTTGGGCAATCGGGTGTTAATGTTTGTGTGAGTTAATTCATTTTAACATACCAGCTGGAAACACTCAGCCTTCCTATCTGGAGTCGCTTTTGTAAATAGTATCCTCTCTGACGGGGGCAGCTCTGTGCCCTCCTGAATACCTGGGTAAGAACATGTTCACTTTCATGTGTGCTCCAAGCTGCCTTTCCACCAAATAAAAATAGAAAGTAGTCTGCAGCACCACACGGGGCCCCAGAGTATTATATGCGCCTATCACTGGTTGCTTTGATATCTTATCTATTCCATTAACTCAATAAAATAGAACGCAAAGCTGGGGACAAACTGTGGGAGGGCTCCCTTTGGAAAATGCATGCAAGACCTTTAAGCTGGGGTTTTAACTTATCTAATAAAAGCCAGTTAAATGGAAGCTAATACTTCATTTGGGGCCCCCTTTATTAAAGATCATAAGTACTGCAACTCAGGAAGAGAGAAAATAAAATAAATATATGGAGGAATATAGGTAGAGGCAATAAAGACAATGGCTTAGCTATTTTCTCAAGATTTAGGAAGCACTTGAAAGCAAAACTCACAGGCAAGCATTTTAAAAATCCCTAACAAAGGCTCCTGTTTCTTAGCAATACAGTGGTCCTCTCTGGATGTGGTAATCCTGTTTGATTTCTTAGTAGAATATAAACCCCCTCACCCAGGCATAATCAGAGAGGCTGCCACCTAGCACCTCCCCCATTTTGTACTTTTATATCAATTTAGTAATTCAGAGAAAAACAAAATAAATTGATGACTTCCCTCCCCTGTTCCATCACCACCCAAAGGAAAACAATACTAAGAACTCCAACTCCAAAACCAAACTAAAGGAAAGTGTTCCACCTACAGACTGTTTTCATGAGTCAAAGCGGATGAGAGCCTCTCTAGGAAATAATGCTATTTCAGCCTATGCTAGCAAGTTTGTAGTAAAAATACGAAGCAAAAGGTATTGCCCCTGGTGTAATTAACAATGTTAATCTTCTTTTTCCTCTCTCTGGTGATAAAGGAGTCATTTTTATATTTAATTAATGCAGAGGATCATTTTGGAAACTGGCTAATGAGCCTCTGATCACATTACCATGAAAATGTGCATTAACATCGCAACTGAGGAGGCTGTTTCATGTGTAGCAAATCCACTTTGTAATTAGCCCACTGTGAAATGAATCACGTCAGGGGGAAATTGGAGGGAACCAGGAGGCAGTGGGCACTTGGCTACCGCTGTGCCGTAGACCAATACTGTCCCAAACATTGCTTTCCATCAGCAGTATTGTCTAAAAACAAAAGTAGTAGTCTGTCACATCTGGGACAAACTGCTGGAAGGGAGAAATAAACTTTATCTTGCCAGACAAGAAATTTGGGCTTGAGCATACATCCCCGGGGAACATGCCCAAATAAGATGGCCAATGAATAGAATTCTATTAAAACTATGAAGACTGAGGATATAGTTTTATTTTGATTCTAAAAGTCCTCAGATGCACATTAAAGAGACATTTGAATGTACACACTTTTTTTTTTCTAGGTCACATAGATATTGTAATAAGCTTTTGAAATTAATCTCTGGTGCTAAACAAACAAAATTATTGAAAAAAATCTAAGAACAAGTAGTAAATAAAGTATTTTATCTCCTTTTTAAGGCAACACATATCATATATACTTTTTTCTCATTTGACACAAAAATACCAAGTCATCCTCTTAAACCAAAGCGAAAATTCCTAATTAATCAAATTATTTCCTCTGCCTCACAAGATTTGGCAAGAAACTTTTCCTGTCGATTCAAAATCTCTGAGCTCATAGACCTATTAAATCCCCAAATTTATGCAGACAATGATACAATTGATTTTCAAATATCCACCCTGTTCCAAAATGAAAGAGGTCTCTCAAAATATTGCAACATGGATCTCAGCATTATTCCTGTTCCTTGACTGACATCTTGGCAGTAGATACACAAAATGTTAAAAGGATCCCACAGGAAGTCATCTAAAGGGGGAGTGGCAAAGAAGCTGAAAACTACCACCCAAAACCAAAATAAAAAGCCCCAAGCCAGCAAGTCTGCCCTCAATTCTGAAAGATACTGAAAGGAATAAAATAATAAAGCTCGCCAGAATTCACTGACCACCTTTCAGACAAACACAAAGCGTGGCTGGTCCGTTGCTGGTATTAGACCTGCACTCACCTGGGAAACTTCATACAGCAGTTTATAGTGCTCCTCTCTTTTCTGAAAAGTGCACAAATTGCAGCCCATTCTAAGAAGCAGAGGGAAAGAACAAATCTTCTAATTTCCCCAGAACTGAAAGGCAAGTGAACTGAAAGGGAAATCACCCTCCAGACTTGACTACTGTTTTTCATCAGTCACTTCAGTCCAGAAACACAGACAAACCGCTGGTAGCTGGAAGCATAAGCCAGGGTGGTGTGTAGCAGCATGCTCTTCTTCGCTTTCCCTAAGTATCCTGCACTCGCGGATACACACACAGAGTTTCCAGTCAGTTCATGGCAACACTCCCCCTGTCTCTGCATCAGTGCACATGACTACACAGATTCCAGCTCATGAATATTAATAGTGCCTCATTGATTATTTATGACAGAACATGTTAGCAGGGAGGGGTGTCATAGCTGCTGCTGATGACAGATGAATATTCACTAATTAAGAAGCAAATGTAGTGTGGTTAAACAAAATTCACTTGTGTCAATACCATCTCTGTTTATTAAGGATAGAGGGGTTGAGCACAGGGCATTTCAAAAAAGAACATACACTTAATTTCTCCATTGACACAAGCTTTTAATATGAAAATAAGAAATTCGGAAACTGAAATGTACTTAGTTCACATCTCCATTTTGCAGCAATGAGAATAAATATCTTTAGCATTATTAAATGTAGGTGCAAATAAATAGGAGCAATTATTTAAATGTATAAAATAAATACAGAAGCAAAGGAAAATTTGGGGGGGGCAGGTATTTGAAACAGGAAAGAAATAGAGGTAGGGGAATATCATTCACTTTTAATTCTTACCTTACATGAGCAACTGAACGTGTTCATATATAAAGACCATTAGTTACTAAGGAGGAAATAGGTATATTCTCTTAATCTAAATAAAGAACATTTAAGCAAAAAGGAGATGATACTTGTATAGAGATAAAATATTTTAACTAGATAAAAAGGAAATATCTATTGAATATGTAAGGATAGTGTTGTAAAACATATAGATGTATATTTAAAAATTAGATATATGCAATGTCTTCTCTGAGAAAAATCTCAAATGCGTATAGTCTTTATGCTAATTTTATTAAAGTCATATATATTTCAGAAAGCTGACATTGGCAATTTTTAAATTCTAATGTAATGCACAATGATTCCATTTATGATTCTATATTTAGATTTCCTAATGTGCAAAGGTGAACACAGATGTAAAAAACGAAGCCTTGATATTTAGATAATGGACTAATGTGTTTAATTTCACACTCTCACAAATACATATATTGTATTGCAAGCAGGCAGTTTTTGTCCCTTGAAGATATACTACAAATAACTAATGCAGATACAAAAGAAAATTCCTTTTGTTCCCATACTGACTTATCACCAACCTTGGCTAATTAAGAAGTATGTCCTTGCTCCTGCACATCTTTAAACTGGACAGGATAGCAGGTGGGTTCCAAAGCAAAAATAATTACTTGGAAACTGATTACTCTGGTTAGGAATTACATTGGATCCTGAAGATTTTTCATTGCTCAATACTTACGTATGGCTACTTTTTGGAGTCCCATTTCCTAAAAGTGCTTTGTCAAATGTTTAGAATCGATAACAGGAAATGATTCTAATGAGTACTAATTGTTAACAAATTGGCTTTGCAACTAGCAACACCTCAACCCCAGCGAGTAGCAAGGAGATGAGCAATCATCTGCTGCTTATCAGTCGTTTCCCTTGGGATGTAATAATCCGATTTTCTGGGCCTAATTTCACCTAACAGCCTGGATGAAAGCCAAGCTGAGAGACCTACGGGAAAGTGGCATCGTAATCGGGAACACTGTGAGTGAACAAAGTTCACCAGGAGTTCTCGCAAATTAGGAACCACTTGTAGGAGATATTAGTTAATGCTTGATTCCTTCATGGAAAGAATGTTTTCAAGGAGATATTCGATAAACAGAAGCACTCTCCTTAGGTGATGAACAGTAAGTATGGTGATGCTTTTCAAAGTTTTAATTTTCTCTGAATCCTACATCACTTCCCATGAACTTTTGTTATGCCGGAGTTCACATCTTCAAAGAGAGCATTGATGGTTTCTTTTTTTAAAGTTGATTTGTTTCTTCCATGAATGAGAGAGACAGAGACAGTATCCCCAACAGGGTCTTGATGCCATTCCTTGCCTCAGTCAACCATGGATCCTGGACATACATGAGCCTGATGTATTAAGGGATGCCCCTGGATGTGACCCCTAAACTTCCTTTGTGGCTCAGCCTCACCAGCATGCTGTTTTATCATTGCATCACCACCCACTTTCCTCTTTGAAGAATTCAGCATTGTTGAATTGAGAGTTAGTGATCTCAGATGTTTCCATTCTGTATTTCAAGGAGTCAGAATGAAGTAAGGCAAGGATGGCTCACATACCATTGAGAGTATTTGCTTCCTCCACTCATAAAATGCTTTTTCGTGGAAGGCTTTGAAAACTCAGCCGTCTAATTATTAAAGTTGTTCTTATTGAAGTTCTCACCTCATAATAGTCTGTAGTTGACTTTTTAAGAAAAATTAAACAATCATGGCTTAAAAATTTATTTGCAGTCATCAAAAACTAAAGAGCAAGCATTCCAGTGACGTGATAAGCAATTTGAAATTGAGGTAGTTCTTTCGGCCGTTACTCTTGGCCGTTTCTATATCCATTAGTCTCTCTGTTCTTTTATTTCTATCTCAGGAAGCAAGAGCAGCTCCTACCATCATTTATCAAATGCTGCCCTTGGCCCATCTTCCCTGGAAAGAGTCCATCTTCTGCTTCTAATGGGCTCGTCCCAAGGAACTGAAGGATGATTTGAAAAAGGAAACTCATAATCCCCATGTTCTCCACATGTCATTAGAATATGAGGATTAGTTTTATTTCCAATCACTAAGTTATTAGATCTTGTATCAAAATATATCATTTGAAGTAGATAGAGACAAATACATTAATATGAATGATGTTTTAAAATTATAAGTGGATTAGATATCATCTGTCTTGTTTGACAATAATATAGATGAAAACTAAAGAAATAAATAACTACCTTTCCAAATATCTTTAGGAAAAACTCATCAAAGTATAGAAATATACACTAGGTATGTATTCCAAGGTATAGCTATTCATTCTAATTGCCTTTAATTTGTGTGATTTTACCCCACACAAATACATTGGCATTCCAAAGAGGATACATGTTAGTCAAGATCTAGTCTGACGTATCAGAAGCTAAACTGATAGGAGAAAGAGAGGAATCCAACATTTTTTGAATGTTCCTGTATAAACTATATCACTGAATAGCTGATAGGAGAAAGGGAGTTTCTTTTATAGAATTATTCCAGTGAATAAGTAAAAAAGGCATGATAGACTATGCCTATGACAGCAGATCTAATTAATTAATGGATCTAGGTACTGTGAATTAATGGTATCTAACATGACACACTCACACATACATGCACAAGAGAGAAGTAGGCATGACAAGCCACCTGGTAGAAAACAATACTGCTCTCGGGACCAGCAGTTAGCGTAATGGCTATGTCGCTGGACTCCCACATAGTCGACTGTGTTTTGAGTCCCAGACCTGGTGGCTTAAACTCACACTGGGCCTGTGTGCGTGTGTGCCCAAGATCCTGAGAGGAGAATGGAGGAGAAGGGATTGTGGTGTGGCCATCCCCCCTGGGGGGTGATTTCCTGCTTTCTATCTCTATGTTTCTCTCTGTCTGTCTGACAAGCGCACGCGCCCTATAGCTAAAACCTCTCCAAAAAAAAGAGAGAAGAAAAGAAAAGAAAACAATACCGCTCTCTCTCTCTCTCTTCCCCCCGGCCCCGAGAGGTTTTTGCTCAAGGGCGCGTGTGCTCGCCAGAAAGATAGAGAGATAGAGAGAGACAGAGGGATAGAAAACAAGAAATCACTCCCCAGGGCGGATGGCCACGCCGCAATCCCATCTCCTCCATTCTCCTCTCAGGATCTTGGGCACGCACGCACACACGCCCAACGTGAGTTTTAAGCCATTGGGTCTGGGACTCGAACCACGATCGGCTACATGGGAGTTCAGCGACATAGCCATTACACTAACTGCTGGTCCCCAATACCGTTCTTTAATAGTCTTTCCAAAAGTGAGCAAATCACCAGAAATTCAGAGGACAGAGGAACGTATTCTGGGTCTTTAAAAAGTTTTTGGAAAATGCATATTATGAAATAACTATTTATGAATTTTCAAATATTTTTGCACACACACTCATACTCTAATTTCCTTTTTTTTCCCACAAACTTTCTGAAGTACTCATATTAAATTCCACCATGGGGATGTAATCAGTCATAGTCAGGTTATGGGCAATATTGCATGCATAGATATATAATCCAGGGTCAGAGAGAGACAAAGGAAGGACAGGAAGAGAGACACTGCAGGGGATGCCTACCAATTAAGAGACTTTAATGATATTTAAAAAATAGACATTACCAAACTATATTTAAGTATGCACATTTGCCTGATAACATTATAAATAAAAGTAACGATGATGGCTCTTTAGGGGGACAGAGGGGTTTTGATTAGGAGGGGATATCAGAAAATTTCAGTGTGGCTAATAAAGTTTTAACTCCTGATCTAGGTAGTGGTTTATCTAGGTGATCACATAATAATTTATTAAACTCGCCTTTGCTTTAGGTTTTTGTTTTTCTTTTCTTTTTTTTTCTTTGTTGCTATGTTTAACAACATGGCTTTAAAAAAACTAATTTACAAAAGAGACCTACGTCCCATCCCTGGCAGTCAATGCAGTACATAGCTGCGGCACCTGCTAAGAAAAAGACAAAAGTCCACGTAGGAATATTCTCATCACTTGCCTTTGTGAGTTTGTGACCTTCCGCATTGACTGATGTTTGCCTTACTGATGTGGAGGTTTGGTGGGTAACCCCACTCTGTTCCCTTCATTCTATCCTTGCCACTGTCCCATGCAGACCTTCCAAAGATGCACACCACCTACCTTGATATATGGCTTACAAATCTGCATTCTAGTCTCAATCCTGCATTTATCTTAGGAAGTACCTTAGCACTTTCGGGTATTGGCAGACACACAGCTGCCTAGCATTTTCAAGTGTTTAGTGTCTTACATTCAATCATAAAGACAAAGAACCTATGACTCA